ACGCGCCGGCACCCCGGGTCCGCTCTGCGGGCTCTGGCCGGAGCATGGGGGGGACTCCGGCAGGGTGGGGGCGGGGAATCTTAGGAGCCGGAGAGGGAAGGGGCCACTCAGCATCGCGTGTCTGAAAATATTCCGCTGCGAGGACTTTCACCCCTGGGGCCGCCCTGGCCCCTCCACTCATCTGTCCGTGGGGCAGCCCTAGTTCCAGGGACCAAAAATCATAAGTTAGCAAAAGAAACCAGGGTGCTGAGGGTGCGGCTAAAGTTACCCTCAGGGAAGGCCCTGGACTTCCGGGCCAGGCCCTGCCACTCACGCGCCGGGGGACCTGGGACGAGTCATTTCTCTCCTCTGGGCCTCAGCTTCCCCATCTGTACAACGGCTGGATGGGGCCACCTGGAGCCAGGCTATCCCAGCGTGGTGTTCTAGCGAGGGAAGCTGTCACCACTTAACAGTCAAGGGCAGAGATGAGAGCCGCCAGCCGCCTCTCCCCTGGACCCTTTCCCCGGCAGCACGTGCCAGCCAGTCCGGCTGGACTCTGCCGGCCAGGGAGTCCCCGGCCGGATCAAGTCTAAGCCCCACCTCAGTGGTCCCCCTCCCCATGTACCCCCATCTCTGGATCTGAGAGCAGCTGGTGGGGGAGAGGGTACCAGCCACACAAATCCTCGGCCAATCTCCCCCAGCTTTATCCTCCACCAATCTGGGATTATCCCATCTGAGGTTCAATCTCGGGAGTGTGTGCGTGTGCGTGTGCGTGTGCGTGTGGCAGGGGGTGGGGGGCCGGCCACTCAGGCTCCTGGTCTTTCACCCTCCTCTCCTCCGAGCAATCAGGACGTCCCCTCACAGGCACACAGGCACCAGGGCGCGGTGGCAGTTGTCAGGGAATTCTCATGCCTGCCACTACCCGCTTCCCAACGCCCCTGGGGATGTGCCGTTTAGTTGGGGGTGGAGAAACCTGGGCCCAGAGAGAAAGGACGCTGCCCCTCCCCGCTCAGGCTCCCAGGCACGAAAATAGCCCATCAATACACATCCACGGCTGACGTGGACTCACGCAAAGACACACGCGAGTGTCCAGACCACAGCACAGACCACGCTGATGGGAGGTTCCCCCCCACCTCGGTGGCCCCAGTGCCAGCCTCCTCCTCCTGGCCTGGCACTTCCTGTGGGGAGCTCAGCCTTTGTTAGTTAGCTCAGCTCAGGCACACCTGCCCCCTCCCCTGAGTCCAGCCGGGCCCTGTTCACCTGGCAACCCAGCACTGGGCGCCTCTCTTCCCTAGCTACCGCCTGCTGGGTGGTGAGCCCTCCTGGGGGCCTCCCAAAGAAGAAGGGGCTATTTATAGTCTGTCCAGGTATCACAGAGACCCCCCCTCCACCAGCATGGCCACTTGTAAGGCCCTCGTCCTCACTGATAGCAAGGACCCCACTTCCAAGAAGAGCTCATTTAATTCCCCTGACTGCATAGGCCTGGTGCCCGGCCACTCCTGGCTCCAGACTGTGCCCGGCTCCCCTCCGTGATGCCAGAGTCCACCGCCCAACAGAGGCTGACAAGGGACCCGTGTCCCCATAGTGGAGTTCTGGCCCAAGCAGAGGGGGGAGGGCAGGCCAGACAGAGGGCGTGCCTCAGGCCACCTCCTCCAGGAGGCCACACCCTGCCCGCAGGAAGGATCCAGGGACCTGTGGCAGAGGGAGAGAAAAGGAAATGGGGCTGGACGGTCACAGGCCCAGCCCCGTTCTTTCTCTCCGCGGCTGGAAGCATCACCCTAACATGGTGGCACCTTCCAGGTTCTGGGGTGATGAAGAGGGGAAAAAAGGAGAGAGGACTAAATGACCCCATTAAAGAAGAATCTGCAGTAGGAGGGCGTGGGGGTTAGACAGCAAGGACTTCCCAACATGACTGTGCAAGAGCTGGCACGCTGCACACACATGCGCTGCACACACATGCTGCACACACACGCTGTACACACATGCTGCACACACACACTGTACATGCTGCACACACGCTGTACACACACATGCTGTACACACACTGTGCACACTGTACACATGCTGTACACACACATGCTGCACACACATGCTGTACACACACGCTGTACACACACTACACACTGCACACATGCTGCACACATGCTGTACACACACCGTACATACACACGCGCTGCACACACACATGCTGTACACACACACTGTGCACACTGCACACATGCTGCACACACACACTGTACACACACACACGCTGCACACACACGCTGCACACACATGCTGCACACACATGCTGTACACACACTGTACAAACACACACACTACACGCACATGCTGCACACACACACTGTACACACACATTATACACACACCGTACACACACATGCTGTACACACACACTATACACACACCGTACACACACACACACTGTACACACACACGCTGCACACACACACTGTACACATGCTGTACACACGCGTGCTGCACACGCACATACTGTACACACACACACTGTACACACACACGGGCTATACACACATGCTGTACACACATGCTGTACACACACACACTGTACACACACGCTGTACACACACACGCTGTACACACATACATGCTGTACACACACACAGTACACACACGCTGTACACACACACGCTGTATACACACACCATACACACACTGTACACACTGTACACATGCTGTACACATACACGCTGTACACACACGCGCTGCACACACACACATGCTTCACACACACGCTGTACACACACGTGGACTGTACACACATACATGCTGTACACACACTACACACACATGCGCTGCACACACACACATGTTGTACACACACCCCCGCCACGCACACGCTGCACACACATGTGGTGTACACACACACTGTACGCACATGCTGTACACATGCTGTACACACACACTGTATACACACACTGTACACACACACTGTACACACACGTGCACTGTACACACATACATGCTGTACACACACACGCTGTACACACACTGTACACATGCTGTACACACACACTGTATACACACACTACACACATGTTCTGTACACGCACACGCTGTACGCACTGTACACATGCTGTACACGCACACCGTACACACGCACACACTGCACACACATGCTGTACACACACACTCACATGCCAGACTGGCTGAGGGGAAACAAGGCTGCCAGGACAGCAGGTGGCAGAGAACAGACCTGGGGACATCTGCTCCCTGGACTGCCCTGGTCTGCCCCCCAGAACCACCTCCAGCTTAGGGTTCCCGCAGAAGATAGAACCTTTTATTTCCTACTAGAGGCTCTGTCAGTTCCCTGTGCATTCTGTGCTCTGGGGCCAGTGCCAAAGTGGAGAACTCGGTGTCACCTGGGAGCCTGGGGACAAGGCTAGACAATCATTAACCGGGGTGCCCTTCTCCCTCGTCTCCTGCCTTGGGCCTCATTTCCTCTGGATGGGGAGGCAGTGCCTCCCCACACCCAGCAGGCAGCCGAGGGGGACAGACCATGGCTGCCGTCCCCCGGTGGTGCAGACGGCCCTGGGGGCTCAGGCCGTCCCCCAGGCTCTGGGGTCCCTCCCTCTCTCTCCTTTCTAGTCCCTCTGGTTTCCGCAGGGGCTCTGAGAGGTGGGGAGACGACAGGAAGAAGACAGAAACAGCAGTGGAGTGAGAACTTGATTCGTGAGGGGCCCCCAGAGGGAAGAGAAAGTCGCGATGTGACTGACTGGAACCAGGCTTCCCAGGGGTGCGTGTGCTCACAGCCACACACCTGGCTGGAGGGGGCCACATGCCCGTGCGCGTGCGCGCGTGCGCCTGGGATTCCAAGGCTGCTCACACACATGCACGGACCTTAACTCTGTGAGCAACGGCTGTTCTGGTCTGCCTTGCCACCTACCAGGATCAGACGGCGGGTGACAGCAGGGAGCTGGCAGCTGATTTGCTTTCCTAGAGATACTCATGACTTGAGGGCCACCGAGGGGCTGGGTCACGGACCGTGGGGGTTTGGGAGTTGGGAGTGGTCGAAGCAGTTCAGATTTTCCTAGCTAGACCTCCGCCTTCTTCCCCCATCTGTTTTTTTCTTTTGCCCTCCCAGGAAGAGATGGAGAATCAGCCTCACTCCGTTTCCCGGAGGCGGGGGAGTGGCGGCTGGGACAGGTGTGTCTCCAGCACCCGGATGCTCAGCAAATGTTTGCTGAAGGGATGGGGGAGTGAGCTCTCTGGAAGTACTTCCTGGAGTTCACGGTGCTGGAGACTCCAGAAGCAGACAGAGAGCAGCAGCCAGCAAATGGCACATCCTCCCCCAGGCTCTGAAATGGGGGTGGGGAGAGGGTCTGAGATTTTTTTATTCCTGCCTCTGCCAGCCCGGGCTGGGGCAATCTGCAGGGTGACGAAGAGCAAGGTGGCACTTGGCGGGTAGGCCTGATCTTCCACAGCGATGGCTGCCCCCCACCCTTGCTGGCCCCTCAGGCTTTTTCCCAGCCAAGGCCCACCCAGGCCCCGCTCCACCCTGACGCCCCGTGGCCCTGTTTCTATGGCTCTTCTTGGGAGACATGAGGTGAGCGGGCTTGAGCTCAGGAGCCAGCAGAGAGATGCCAGGCCAGCGGGCCCCAACGGCCCATCCAGGCAGTGGGCACCCCTCCCACAGCCAGACTTCATCCCCAGAGCCACAAAAGAAAGCCTGGGGGCCACCTGTGCACTGTGCCCCACACTCAGTGTCCAAAGCCTTCTCCCCTTGCCTCCCGGCAGCTCAGTCCTCCCCCTCTAAGTGCTGCCCCAGGGGCAGGGTGGGAAGACGGGAAAGGGCTGCCTCTGTGCCTTGCAAAGGGCACAGTTTCTCTGCTAATGGCTTCTCTCCAGGCCAGAAGAGGTGCCTGCACCTACAGCAAGAGAGAGGGGTGCCAGGAGGAGACAGGGACCTCTTGGTGATGAGAGGAGGCGGAAAAGACACTCCGTGTCTCAAGAAGGTGGGGGGTCCCTGCCCCTGTTCAGGCCCTGCTCAGCCCCCAGGCCCTGCTCAGCCCCCGGGCCCTGGAAAGGCCGGTACTCACCCCTGGAAGCGTCTTCTGTTCGTGCAGGGCGCTCTGGGCCTTCAGGGCTGACTCGCGGGCACAGTATGTCAGGAAGGCACATCCTGAGGAGGGCACGGGCAGAGAGACCCAGTGGGAGCGAGTCCCAGTCTCCCCTCCCTAAGAGGCTCCCCCCGCCCCCCAGGAGACTGAGGTCTGGGAAGCTTGTCCCTTCTTGCCACCTTCTGCCTGCCGGGGCGGGGAGGTGTCTGAGAGGGGGCGGACACTCTGCCCCAGGGGTCTCTGGGCTGCCGTGCCTGGGGCTGAGATGGGGGTCGTGAGCGGGGAGGGAGCACCCTGGGGTGGTGGGAGGTGGGGCTGTGTGAGGGGGAAGGCGAGGGGCGTGTGGTGGCAGCCGGGGCGTGGGGGGTGGTGTTCTCCTCAGCCCGTCTTCCCTCTTCCTCCTTCGCCTCCATCTTGCTCATCATCACCCCTCCACCCTCCCATTTCCCCTATTTCCTCGTCTCTCAAACTCCCCGGGAGGCACGTGGAAGGTCGAGAGTGGGGCAGAGGCGAGGGACAGGGACGAGCATCAGCCGACGTCCCTGGCTGGGGGCGCGGGCAGTGTGGCCCTTCTGGCCCCCGTGCCCAGAGCTCGCCAGGTCCTGCCCTGGGCCTGACCCTGCTTAGCCACACGGCACTCGGACGGGCCTGAGGCGCATCCTCTCTTGGCCTCCAGTCTCCTAACTTTCGAGTCCCCCACACGCCCCAAGTCTTCACCAGTCTCTGTCCTTCATACCCTGCCTCCCAGGTCCCTCTCCTCGGTCCTAGAGCTGTCCTGCCCGGTCCTTGTCTACTCTTTCCAGGTCGAGCACCTGACCCTGTGTCCCGACCTCCATCCCAATAGTATCCGAGGCTACTAGGACTCAATCTTGCACACGTGCGCGCACACGCACGCGCACGCACACGCACACACACTCACACACACACACACTCACACACACCCCTGCCCAGCTCCTTATCTCCCAAACCAGCTCTCTTGCTCCTCCACCCTTCCCCAAGTTCATCCATGACATCGCCCCCTCATCTCTGGGACCCACACCTCTGCAGCCCCCTTGACACCCCTTCCCCCAAAGAGGCCCACCTTAGTCCTCCATCCGGGTCCCCTGGTCGCCCTGCTGAGTCCTCGTCTAGCTCCTCCATCCACACTCCCCAGCCCGGAAACTCTGCCTTCCAGATTGGTCCTTTGCAGCCACTCCACCCTCCAGCCCCCTCCCAGCCTCCCAGCCCACCCCCAGAAGCCTCTGCAGCCTGGCCTGACCCCTCACCCTTGTGCAGCCCGGTGTACTTGTCCTTGATGACAGTCAGCTCGAAGATCCGACCGAACTGCTCGAAGATGGGCTTCAGGTCCTTTTCCTCCAGGTGCCTCGGGATCTGCCCCACAAACAGCTTGATGGCATCCGGCTCCTTCATTGGGGCGGCCCAGGAGGAGGGGCCGAGGGGAGTAGGGAGAGGCCCGAAGGCCAGGGGGAGCTGCCCAGCAAGGAGGCAAGTGGTGGGGGCCGGGGCCCAGCCCAGGGCTGGCTTTCCCTGGGGCCAACCACAGTGCTGGGCAGGGGGGCAGCTCTCCACACAAAGGAGGCCGGGGAGCTGGGGGCCAGGCAGCCGGGGTCTAGGCAGACACTGTCATGCCAGCAGGGGGCATAGCCCAAACAAGTGGTCTCCTCCCAGGAGGGGGTCAGTGTGGCCCAGACCTGGAGGGTAGGGTAGTAGCGGGGGCGCTGGGAGCTGGGGGCTGAGATGTGAGCTGGAGGCGGGGGAAGGGGCCTGAGGAGGGCCGTGAGGGTGGAGGCTGCGGGGTTAGGGGCCGGGGTCCTGATGGGGAGCAGGTGGAGCGCTCCTTGGCGTCCCTGAGGGGACACCTCCCCTGTGGCTGATCCTTCTGCCGGGTCGGGTCCGAAGATCCCTGATGCCAGATGCTTGGTCTCTGATGGCGGCAGGGCTCCGGGATCCCTTTTGCCCTGCCGCCCCCCTTCAAGGTCCTCCCCTCAGCCCCCCTCCCACCCCCACCCCGGTCCCCGGGCCTGGGCTGCTGCTGGCGGCTCCCGATGCTGGGGCTGCCTGCTTTCCCGGTCACCTGGGTCCCGGAGGTCTGCTCTCCGGCCGCGCACT